CCAATTACTGCAACAACAACACCAGCAACGAAAGCTTCCGCCCATGGATGTTAACAACAATGACACAATCAGAACTGTGCTCACTGTCCAAGTCTATGCAGATGAACAATAGCCACCTTGCTCAAATCAAGCAATGCCTATTAAAAAAAAAGTAATAAGTTCATTTGCTCTGGATGACCGTGAAGTCAGCCTGCGTGGGCTGAAGGAGGGCATTCAGATTCAATGAAATGAAGTTATTGGACTGAAAACTCTAAGCAAAAATCAAAAAACGGAAACAAAATCCCAACAACACGAAGGGTCACATGATGGTCTTCAAAGGAAGGAACCTACCCAATCACACACCATGAGCCATGACGTCATAGCTATCCAGAAAATCGGGACACGGTTCTGAGCCACAAACCACCAGATCAAAAGCAGGCCTTTTGTGAACACCGCTCGCTCCGTCACGGATGCAGCAAAATGACTTACCTAGTATTCCCAGACGGTAGTTGATGGTGATGACGATGACATTGCCGTAGCTAGCCAAAATACTGCCGTCAATCATATTGCCAGTGCCCTCCATGTAAGAGCCTCCGTGGATGTACACCATAACTGGCTTCTTACTGTTCTGATCGTGGATATCTGGGGAGAGAGTCAAGTAAGGAGATGCAATAAAGAATCACAGCAACCAACGGACGCTGCACAAAGGGCGAAGGAGGGGCATTTACTTTCCTAGTTTGGTGCAGATTGGTCATGTTTATGTTTATGGATGATGTAAGCCTAAGGAAACTGGCCAGCCCTGTGATTCTATCTTCTATTTGTAGAAATTATATTTTGAGACGCGTACAGACATTTGGAAGAATGTGTCCAAGTAAACGTCTAGATACATAGCGACACATCTGAGTATCTAAACACTGAAACCATGGAGGATTTCAGATCAAACACACTTTTGCTCAAACTCTAAAATGTGATTTAAATTGAAGAAGCACATGACCTCCTGGTCTGAACCAATTTTCATGATCTATTTGCGTGTAAACTTCAAGTTATAATTAATTTTAATACAGCTGCTATCTTCATCTGCAGGTGAATGTATCGATTCATCTTTAGCTTAACAACAACAAAAATCAACAACAGAAAGTAAGAGTGAAACTATAAATTTTCAGTACTAGACAGATGATGACAAAGACCAAACAAATAGTTAAAAATTGATCAACACAAGAACACAAATGGATAAAAAAAGTTTGAGCTGTCCACCAAGTGACTTTGCTGGAGTCTCTTGATTGCAGTAATATTCCAACAGAATTAAAGAGCAAAAATGAAAAAGACGTCATAAAAAATGGTGACAAGGTTCAACACAAGACGAAATTATCGAAATGCTTTCTATCTTTACAGGGAATATACATTCCCATGGGAATTTTCAACCAATGCGTACTCTTGGTCATTTCTTTATCACTTTAATTAACAACGATGGAAAAACAGTATCGCCCAATGGTCTGCAATGGTAGACCCTCAGAGACCATCTGCAAAGTGCTTCCTAAGAAGGTACGATTAAATAACCTACTCAGTGTTCATCAGCTGTTAAGCCTACACTTAATTTTTAGAAAAGACTGACTTTGATTATAAATTTTTCTGGATATGTGCGTCTGTCTGTGTCAATAATTTAAATATCTGCATGTCAGTGAAAGAAAACCATGCACATTAACTCTCACTTCTTGATAAAAAATGTTCTCTTTCTAAATTCATGGCAAGGAGTTCTGCAGAAAGGAAATGCCACTGTGTGTAGGGTAGCTCCCATTGGAATGCATGATGGTCACCATTTCATTGGGTGAGCAGAGAAGGCATGAGAAATCCCATGTCACAGTAAAGCACAAAAAAAGTGTCAAGTTTCCCAAGTATTTGTAGATACTGAACCCAAGACAGAAGAGTGTCTTTCCTCATATAAAATTCGAGCCTAACATTAAAATCCTATGTGATTCGGTTTTCAGGTATGACATAGAATTTTCATAATCAACTGCTATCTGAATAAGAAATGGCATTTTTTTTTTATTTTTTATTTTTTTAGAGAGAGAGGTTTTTGCTATACAGCACATGCGCTTGCCAGAATGACAGAGACAGAGAGAAAGAGAGAAATCATCCCCCCAGGGGGGAAGGCCACACTGCAATCCCTTCTCCTTTCTCCTCTCAGGATCTTGGGCATGCACGCACATGCACCGGGTGTGAGTTTGAGCCACCAGGTCTGGGATTCGAACCGCAGTCAACTACGTGGGAGATCAGCGGCATTGCCATTATGCCAACTGCTGGTTCCAAGTCATTGTCTCTTTCTGGCCATCAATTTACTGTGTTTGCCTTTAATTATTTTAATAGTACAAGTTACTGGCTACCAAATTGTAGGGGAGGGAAAACAAACAAAAAACTAAATGCTGTCCGGCTAGCCTGAGGTGTTCCTTAGGAAGATACATCAGATGGACATCTCTTACCTTTCCTGACTTTGATTATAAATTTTTCTGGATATGTGCGTCTGTCTGTGTCAATAATTTAAATATCTGCATGTCAGTGAAAGAAAACCATGCACATTAACTCTCACTTCTTGATAAAAAATGTTCTCTTTCTAAATTCATGGCAAGGAGGTCTGCAGAAAGGAAATGCCACTGTGTGTAGGGTAGCTCCCATTGGAATGCATGATGGTCACCATTTCATTGGGTGAGCAGAGAAGGCATGAGAAATCCCATGTCACAGTAAAGCACAAAAAAAGTGTCAAGTTTCCCAAGTATTTGTAGATACTGAACCCAAGACAGAAGAGTGTCTTTCCTCATATAAAATTCGAGCCTAACATTAAAATCCTATGTGATTCGGTTTTCAGGTATGACATAGAATTTTCATAATCAACTGCTATCTGAATAAGAAATGGCATTTTTTTTTTATTTTTTATTTTTTTAGAGAGAGAGGTTTTTGCTATACAGCACATGCGCTTGCCAGAATGACAGAGACAGAGAGAAAGAGAGAAATCATCCCCCCAGGGGGGAAGGCCACACTGCAATCCCTTCTCCTTTCTCCTCTCAGGATCTTGGGCATGCACGCACATGCACCGGGTGTGAGTTTGAGCCACCAGGTCTGGGATTCGAACCGCAGTCAACTACGTGGGAGATCAGCGGCATTGCCATTATGCCAACTGCTGGTTCCAAGTCATTGTCTCTTTCTGGTCATCAATTTACTGTGTTTGCCTTTAATTATTTTAATATTACAAGTTACTGGCTACCAAATTGTAGGGGAGGGAAAACAAACAAAAAACTAAATGCTGTCCGGCTAGCCTGAGGTGTTCCTTAGGAAGATACATCAGATGGACATCTCTTACCTTTCATGCAAGATAAGACAAGGTCCTCCTGCATCTGAGGACACGATCATCAGACGTCATAGGAGCTCAGAGTTAAAAACAATCACAGCTTAAATGGAAATTGGACAGCTTGTTAACAAGGAGAGCTGAATTGCAAATATCATGAAAATAGATCCTAAGTATCACCAAAAAACTGTAGTAGCCAGAAGAGAAAGCTAAGTAAGATGCACACTCTGGCAGTAGAAGGCATGAGACAGAGTAAGGAGGCAAAGGATTCTTTTTTTCCTATTTTGAATGCTGATGAAATGGCAGGTGTTCTGCAGCTCTCAGGAAAAAAAAAAAGAGGCTCCTTGATAAGTCTGGTATAGACTTTAATATTCTAATGCCATCAGAAGAGATCTCTCAGAGAGATATTTGAGACAACGGCAGCCCTACGAACTAGGGTTCACTATGAATAATAATAATGATTATTATGTTCAGAGAAGACCAGGCTTGGATGCCATGTTTCTTAGAGAGCAGTTGACTGATGAAATCACAGATGGTGACAAAAATAAACTACTGGTAAAAAGGTCTTTTCGGGGAAGTTGAGACAACGGCAGCCCTACGAACTAGGGTTCACTATGAATAATAATAATGATTATTATGTTCAGAGAAGACCAGGCTTGGATGCCATGTTTCTTAGAGAGCAGTTGACTGATGAAATCACAGATGGTAAAAAGGTCCTTTTGGGGAAGTTGAGCTTCACCAAAAAGAAGCACACCCTGCTCAATTCTGTGCTTTAAAAAGACTTTCAGCCAGAGACTGAAGGTCACAAAAGGCCTCAGCCCTTCCTCCTTTTAGGTAAATAAATGGAGTTTCCTGCATTTTATGGCCCTGATGGGAAAAAAATGGGCTTTTATCCATCCAGTCCTGGAGAGCGTTTTCAGCAAGTGAAAGGTTGTTTGAGTATTTTATTGTTTCTTCTCTTTTAAGACATTTGTTGAACAGAAGGAGCAGCACACAGGGTCCTAGTTATCTGCTTAGAGGCTGCATGCCTTCCATCTTTTAAAAGAAATCATTTCGTGTCTGGTGGATAATCCATCAAGCAATTTGGGAGCCTTCAAGAGGAAACTTTTCATAGCAACAAAACATTTGGGAGAGAATAAAATGTCTTCAAACTAGCCAGGGTGTGAAAAGAAAGATGCATGAAGCTTTTCAGTTTTGTTTCCATTCTTGGGTATCTATAACTTCTTCCTTTTGTTTTTCCTTGTTAATCACTTAAATCCTACTAAAAAGCAATCCTGAAAGAAACAACAACATCTTGTTAAAACACTTTTTGATGTACTTTACTGTGAGCAGATTCCTGGAAACCTATTTTGGAATCAGTATGCTTGCAAAAAAAAACAAAAACAAAAACAAAAATGCCAACCCCCTAAAGGTTCCCTTAAGGTGTGCTGCATTTTTGCAGTTGATAAAAAGAATGAAGAGTACCGAAACTTCAAAAAAGGGAAGTAACTTATAAAATAACTACTGGAAGGACGCAAAGAAAGAATACATGCATGTCTTCAAATTCCATTTTCTCTTCTTGTGACCAAGTCAAAAACATCTTTTTTTTTTAAAAAAAAGGTGGGCTTCTTTGTAAGATGGACTTTGGGTCCCTGTTTCATGTCTAGAAACAATTGTTATACTTATAGTGATTTGTTGTCCCCTACATGGTAACTGGGATTAAAAAAAATGACGTGGTTTCCATACAAGAAGAAAACAGATAGGGAAGCACACGAGTGTGTACTAGTTTCAAACAAGGGAGGAAAAACAGATTGAAATGAAAAAAATATATAGAGAGAGATAGAGAGATATAAAATCATGCATCAGGATTGAGCTTTGAAAAAAACAAAACCAAAAAAATACCTTCATCTTCCCCACGGTCATTACTGGTTATATCATCTGCGTTTTTCTTTGTGTTGGCTCCTAGGGTCATATTGAGAGGGAAAATAAAGGGAAAAAAGAGAATTCAAAAACAACAGGTTTGCCAAAAATTCAGAAAAGAGAGATATGCTACTCAGTAAAAGAAAAAAAAAAAAAAAGAAGAAGAATGTGACACAAAAAAGTTGAAATCGGTTACATCTGGATTTCAAAAAAAAAAAAAAAAAAAAAAGAAAGAAATAGGGCAATGCAGACGCATATTAACATAAAGATGTCAAGAAGAACCAATCCAAAATGTGACTTGCAAAAAATATTAGCTATCCTGTGGCGATGCGGTTTGGGGGTTAAAATGATACTATTGCAGAAAAAGAAAAAAAAAAAAAAAGAGAAAAACTAATGTGAGTTGTTT